GTGTAGGGATTATCTATTTCTGCGAACGAGATTATACAATGTTGAAGTAAAACAAGCGCCATTTTTGATAAGAGACGAGAAATAATCAAGTTTTATTTTCGTGTGGCAGTCAAATTGTCAAACCAGACAAAATAACATATTTTTACATTTTTTGAAAATATACAGCTGATTTTTATTCAGATAGAAATATAATTGTGTGTACTTAATTATTTTCGTTATGGCACTTTAATTATTATTACCTTTCATGCAGTATTTAAGGATCCATTAAGGGTCGGCAGTTTTAATTTTTTAATATTTAATTTTTACGTTCATATTAACTATTACGTTTATACAGGGTGGTTCGTGCAACTATGACAAGCTATGTCTATGGTTCAGAGTTAGAAAAATATACGCAGGATTCGTTTGAAAATGTCAATAACCTTCGCATGACTGACGAATTTTCTAATTTCATTAATGAGAATATTGTTCCAAGAATTTAAACATTCGTCGATATTTCAGAGTTGGAATCAACGGAATTCATTGCGCCTTGAACACTGTTAAGAAGGTTAAACAGTTTAGCATAACTGTAAACTTGTTCTGCTGCCTGAGGTCGTACAGTGTAATTTAGAATAAATTTAGAACCGAGGTTCGACATCTATATCTTTTATTTTGCTGATATTTGTAACGATTTAAGATTAGAGTCAGTCGTTGATATATCATATTACATTTCGCCTAATTCGTTCGTTGATTTTTCAAGATTTTTCTTGTGATATGAGACGATATTCCTTTCTTGAAAATTGCGCAAATAAGTTAGAAAGTTGGAATACATATCGCAGTAATTTCTCGTCGAACAAAGTTCCAAATATTTTGTTCAAAATCAATTTCCGAGGAAAGTAGATTTGCAGAAAATGTACGGTAAACATCGAAAGTGTCATTGTCAAAGTTTAAACGTATCGTCTATTGTAAAATGTAAAAGAATTCAGTGCAATTTGTCATTTGAGAATGGAATGTTTCAACGTATGAATTTCGCAGCGACATTGTTCCTTTATAAATTTCTTTTAATTCCCATTTATCATTTCTTTCTTTTTTTTTTTTTTTTTAAGTTGACAGATAAAATTGGCAGCAATAGTTTCTGCGAAATTTGTGTCTGGAATATCGTCGAGGTAGAACGCAATGACATTATTCCTTTATAAATTTCTTTTAATTTCCATTTATAATTTCTTCTTTTTTTTCTTTTTTTATTGACAGATAAAATTGACAGTAACAATTTCTGCCAAATTTGTTTCTAAAATATTCGTGAGGTAGAATGCAATGTTTCAACGAGTGAATTTCGCAACGACATTGTTCCTTTATAAATTTCTTTTAATTCCCATTTATCATTTCTTCCTTTTTTTTCGTTGACAGATAAAATTGGCAGTGACAGTTTCTGTGAAATTTGTTTCTAGAATATCAACGACGAAAAACATAATATTTCAACGTGTGAATTTCATAACGACATTGTTCCTTTATAAATTTCTTTTAATTTCCATTTATCATTTCCTTTCTTCTTTCGTTGACAGTTAAAATTGACAGTAACAGTTTCTGCGAAATTTGTTTCCAGAATATCGACGAGGTAGAGCGCAATGTTTCAACGTGTGAATTTCGTAACGACATTGTTCCTTTATAAATTTTTTTAAATTCCCATTTATCATTTTTTCCTTTTTTTCTTTTCGTTGACAGATAAAATTGACAGCAACAGTTTGTGCGAAATTTGTTTCCAGAATATCGGCGAGGTAGAACGCAGTTTACTTAGGTAACGTAACATACATTCTACTCCCTCCTCCTTCGTTTCTCGTACAACGATAAATCTGAACATGTATTCATCCATATTTATAACACTCCTCCTGGTCATAACAGACAGAGTCAGTCGTAATCCATTCGCGTGACGATGGACTCAACCTTCGTCTCTTTCTCATTGCAGTTGTCAGTGATCGCCTTGATCGCTATTAGCCTGATCAAGTTTGTCGGTTTGTTGCACCATCAGTACATTTATTGGAAGAAAAGGCATGTCCTTCACATATGGGCTATGCCAATTTTTGGCTCCGCGTGGAAGGTCTTCATTCGTCAAATATCCCTTCCCGACTATTGCTTGTTCGTTTACAATCGTTACCCGAAATCGAGGTACATCGGCACGATGGACTTCTTCACGCCTGTCGTGATGATTCGTGATCCCGAGCTGATCAAAGATATAGCCGTGAAGCATTTCGAGAATTTCCCCGATCATCATAGCTTCATCGATGAAAAGATAGACCCGATATTCGGGAAGAACGTGTTCTCGTTGAGAGGTGATCGATGGAGGGAGATGAGGAGCACGCTGAGTCCATCTTTCACCAGCAACAAGATGAAATTCATGTTCGAGCTGGTATCCAAATGCTCCGAGGAGTTCGTCGACTATCTGTACAAGCATCCAGAGCTCTCGTCTTCGATAGAGGCGAAAGACGCGTTCACGAGGTACACCAATGACGTGATTAGCACGGTGGCCTTTGGGATAAGCGTGAACTCGATGGAGAATCGAGACAACGAGTTTTATAAGAAAGGCGTAGATGCCACTACGTTTGGAGGCATCTTCCGGCTGCTGAAGTTTTTGCTATTCCGTGTCAACCCACGCTTGACCAGAATGGCAGGATTATCGTTCCTCTCGCGCGACACCGCCAGATTCTTCCGCAAGGTCGTCTCTGAAACTGTGAGAACTCGGGACGAGCAAAACATTGTTCGACCGGATATGATTCATCTTTTGATGCAGGCTAGGGACAAGGACAAGTCTACGCATCGGATGACCATAGATGACATCACGGCTCAGGCGTTTATTTTCTTCTTAGCCGGCTTCGATACGTCCTCTACCTTGATGTGTTACATAGTCTACGAGTTGGCGCTTAATCCGGACGTGCAGGAGAGACTTTGGAGGGAGGTGGATCGATTCATGGAGCAAGGGAACGGGCAGATCTCGTACGAGGGGCTGTTAAAGATGGAATACATGGATATGGTGACGTCGGAGACGCTTCGAAAGTATCCACCGGTCACTTTCATTGATAGAGTGTGCGTGCAAGATTTCGAACTGACTCCAGCCGAAGCTGGCTGCGAAAATTTAACCGTGTGCCGCGGTAATCTCGTTTGGTTCCCTGTTTACGCGTTGCATCGCGACCCCAAGTATTTCCCTGATCCGGAGAAGTTCGATCCGGAGCGTTTCAGCGAAACAAATAGGGATAACATTGTACCCTACACGTACATACCGTTTGGTATTGGCCCGCGTAAATGCATCGGTAATCGTTTCGCTCTAATGGAGACCAAGCTCGTCATAGCTAATCTGTTGCACAGATTCTACCTGCGGTCCACGGAAAAGACGAGACCGATAGAGTACAGCAAAACGAATTTTTCTTTGACGCTTGACCACGGATTCTGGATCGGTCTGGAAAAGAGGAAACTCTAGGCCTATTTCATTTTTCTTCGCCTTTTTATTTCGTACATCATGGTTAAGAGCGATGTATCGCGTTGTTCGTTTTTACATTTTATAAATAGAACACGTGACATTTGACTGAACATTACGATGGAATTAAGTTTAATATGCCGAGTTAGTCACCACGCAAGTTTGGTCACCCGTGACTGGATCTTATTTCAAGGAGCACCAATTATATACGTGATAATCATCAACGATCAAGCAATTGCTTAGAATGATTGAAATAAATCGAGCATCGTCGAGTCGAAAATTTTTAACACAGTTAATATTAACCTTTTGCACTCGAGAGGTTTTAAAGATCGATATTAATTAATGTATCAAATTTACAATTACCCAACGATGCGTGGAATATCGAAGTAAAATAATTCTACCTCTTAATTTCTATACGATTTCTTATTTACCGTTTTAAAAATATCGTCGACCTCATAGTAGAAAGTCTTCGAATTACTATTTTCCTGTAACGAAAAAATTCTCCAGTGTAAGGGGTTAATGAAATAAAATTGAATAATCAAAGTTATTCAGTATTTAAAGATCTTATTCGAAACATGACGTATTATGGAGATCAAATCGTACGGTATACTGTAATGAAAATTCTATTGCGATCTTTTGGCAAGCAAGGTGCACTCGAAAGGTGATCTTCAGTCATCATTTCATAAAATTTGGAAGGTGGATATTAATTAATATATCAAATTTAATGTAATAGTGCGCGAGGTAACGAAATCAAATAATTCTACAATTCTATTATTATACAATTCTATATTTACTGGTCAAAAAGATATCGTCAGTATTTTAGTAGAGAATCTTTGAATTTATACTCTTCGTTAACCAAAAAATCGTCGAGTGCAAAGGGTTAAAACGCGAAATACGAGACGAAATGTCTTTTCTTTTATTCTTTTCATTGAACGATTTGAGAAAAGCTTCGGTGGTTCAGCATATGGACGTATGCTGGTTCGTTATATATAAGACTATTATACCTTTTTGATCATTTTAATAAACGTGAAATTTTATTGAAAATGTAAATTTCATCTTACGATATTTTTTCACGAGCAAACAATATTTCCAATTTGTCTCCCTATTTATGAAATCGGTTATACAATACGGTGCGCTTGCCTTGAACGCATACAAAGAGCAAAAAATGCAAGATTCGTCGACAGGTAATCATTTTATTTTAAATTATAATATATCACGATCATTTTTGCATACCTGCAACGTTAATTTATCCTGTTAATAGTGACCTGTCGTTATTGCAGACACGTGAATTGCTCGTTCTACGAATTGAAACTGTAATGAGAACGACGTAATTCTTCGAAGCAGTGCGTTATCTTGCACTCGACGAGGACGTGCGTTTAAAAATGGAAATATGATTTCTTCTTTTTTCTTCTTTCTATATCGTTATGTT